CCCAGCAGCGATTCTCAGGAGTTCGAGCACCATGCTGTTCGACCTGCCCCCTTTCGAATTTATCTCACAAGGAACATCGCGACTGCTCCTCTTCTCAAGCGGTCTATAGCCTGTCGCGCCCTGCTCTGTGCCCAGCAAGCACCGTGGACGTCACTGCCCTTGAGCATGATAGCCGGAGTTGGCCGAGATCGGCTTTGTTGGGTCTTTCGGCGCTCTGCATCGCCATTTTGCGCTGCGAGACGGGGTGGGTTGTCGCTGCGCAGAGCCACGCGAGGCTCCGCATCCCTGGGCGCTTGGCGCCCCTGTTGCGATGGGTCAGGTTGCGGTGGCTTGGGCGACTTGGCGCACGCGGCCGGGGCCCGGAAATGATGCCGGTCACGTGTGTGGGTGGGTGTGGGTGGGTGGGGTGGGGTGGGGTGGGGTGGGGTGGGGTGGGGTGGGGTGGGGTGGGGTGGGGGTACGCGGCGGCTGTAACGAAACGCGTCGCAAGCTCATGGGTGCGGATGATGACGATGATACTCATCGGAAGCTGATGGTTGCGGATGACGAAGACAACACTCGCCGGAAGCTCATGGGAGGCCATGACGGCGAGGACACTCGTCGGAAGTTCATGGGGGACGATGACCATAATTACACATGCCGGAAGCTCATGGGAGAGGATGGTGACGACGGCACTCGTCAAAAACTCATGGCTAGGCGATTGCCGTATTAGCAAATCTACAAAGAAAAGTAGCATTTTTGTGGCAGAGATTGACATCACTTTCCATGCGTTTGCACACACTGTTCAGTGGGATTTGAGTAGCTATTATATTCAGAATGAATAAACAACTCAGAATTCATATCATCACCAAATTCATCGATGCTGTATCTCACGAAATGCATCTGTATCTGAGGAGACTCACGTGTACTTTTCATTTTACGATTTTCGGCTGTGCTGTCACCAAGATGTTTCGTTACAAAGAGTGTTTGTACCTATTGTTTGGATGCTTTCGTCACAGGTCCGCACTTTAGATTGGTGTGCCATAAGTCTTTCGCCTTGTTGGATGAGGTGAATAAGGTCTCGCAATTTAAATTGTTGGGCTATGAATCTTTCGCCTTTTCGGCGGGTGAGGATGAATATGTCCTTGAGCTGTTTTTGCTTTAGTGAGGTTGGGTGAGGATAAACATGTCAATGAGCAATTTATGAGCTCTTTCAAGTGACTGTTTACAAGACAACTATTCTGTGAACAATATATGACGACTCTAATTTATTAGGATGCTGAATATCAGTCGGCGCATGTGATTTTCTGATGCACAACGTTCTTTGATGCCTCCTTGGACTTTCACTTGCATAAATGTACGTGTTGCTAGCGATTGTTACATTTTTGGTGATTTTCAAATGTTACTCCCAAGCCAAGAAAAATAGAGGAGACAACCAAGAGTATGAATTTGATGGACACAAGAAGTTCAGCTGTGCGTCTTGTGCATTTTAGATTCCAATCTCACAGGTATTGGCTATGTTTCTGGTGCACGCATTGATGGTGAACTTGGCAAGCTCTTTGTATGACGGCTGTGCCAAAAAGTGCGGTAGGGTCCTACTGCGATCGAAGAAAACTGTCTCGTGAGGGCATTTCAGCAACCTGGGGCTTTATAATAAAGGATGCCATCACCTGCCTAACATTAAACTCAGTTCCATTGTACCCAAAATACTTTGGGCACCGTGCAGTTGCCTTTAGTGTATTTGGAGACGAATCTCCAATTACACTGCAGCTGAATAAGAGAACTTGCTTTTGGATGTCCTCTCAGTGAGTAAATGATCATTCAATCAGCAACAACCATTTCATCCACCGCAAACCACACATTTTGCGTCACCAAGAGGCCTGATATTGTCAATGCGCAGAAGCAGATCCGACTCACTACGCTTACAGAATCTGTCTCAGGTAGGCCCACGGGGCCCACGGCTTACCCCACGCCTTCCCACATGCGATGGCCCATGAAGGGCATCTAGGGGAGGACAGTTGAAATGCAGTAACGCGGGCATGTACCGTGTAGTGCATTTCAACGGCCGTCCCACGGATGCCCAAGTGGGCCATCCCACGATTCTGTAACACACATTGGCGAGAGGGCCGTGGCTCTTGGGGCTAGGCATTCGAATCCATCCACATTGCCCCATTCATTCCAGCCACCCTATGTGAACCACGTCGCCCATTAGTCGCTGTCTTATTTGTGGGGTGGGTGAAGTACCTGGTGCTATGCAAATTGCACTTGCAATAGCGGTAATCACAATTCGTCAGCTTTGGACATGCACATTGACAGTTGTCGTGACAACGGAGGCAGATTTACGTCTAGAGAAAAGATGGAAGTAATTCCACTACCAAATTGGAAACAAAATTATTGTTTTTATGTGACTTTTTTGTCAGGATCCGCGATGATGTTCATTGGGATTGCTATGTGACCTCAAATGCTGAGGTCAGCAACCCTGTCAATGATGCGTTGTACTCATTAAGCCTTGAAGAGCACAGCGAGATCTCTCTACAGAAGCAACCAACACGATGGAGCCCATTGATCATGTCCCATCAGCCAGCATATGTATATAAATGCTACCACACAATTGTTTCCGACAAGCCAAGGACAGTCGCAGCCCATGCCAGGTCGGCGGCAAATACCGGTGATTTGTGAATTTTGATCTGTTCAATTGATTTGCTAAATTGACTTATAGAGTCACCAAAAATATCAAGGTAGTTTTGGTGGTGATGGGACAAATGAATTCTTGTGAAAGGTCACCAAACCTTTGGTTGTGACCATGGCCGCGGCAGAGAATGGCGCTTCACGAAAATCGAATATTTGAAGGAACTTCTGGAACAAGTCATGACTTTTCTGTACAGTTGCCTCAGAATCGGCGCAAGTCGAAAAGACGATTTAACCGCCACTGATTAGCGGCAAACAACGCAGGAAATAAATCTCATAGTGTACAGGTTTAGATCCTCTCCCCCCCCCCCAATTCCCCAATTCCCCATGCCCCCGCGCCCCCGCCGCCCCAAAACAACTCCACACACAAGCACACGCAAACGTCGCAAGAAACCAGTTGTACCAAACTCGACAATGTGCCTTGCCTTAAGGACAAAAGGCCGTCCATGCTTTAGAGTACAATGGTTTGTACCATCCAGCTTTTGTCGATTTTTTTGCGCACAATCTCATGGCGTCGCATGTCTGCAGCTTTCCCCTGAGTGCGCCGAAATTACACAAAATGCACCAGATTCTACATGGTGCCTACCCTTAAATGCTACGGCCTCCCCTCTTCATTTTGAACTTCAGGTCGACGCCTTCCATGTATTGGAACCATTGTCTTATCGGCCACGACAACTCCCCCCCACCCCCACCCCTTGAGTTGCGTCCCCCGCCTCGATATTTGTCTGCCTTCTGCGGCCACCCCCATCCGATCAATGCGCTGCGGGGTGCAATTCGGATGGCAAGTTGGCGTCCTCCCATCTCATTTAGAGCCACCCGTCCCTGCCTCATTTGAATTGGCGCCGCACATGTCCATGTCACAGCGGATCCAAGCGGCGGCATGACTCGCCTGAATCTGCGCAGCATGGCCCAGTCAGGCGGCAGCGACGCACGCGCCCTGACTGCTCGTAGCATTGCTGCGATTCTTGTTGGGAAGAACCGGTACATGCACTAGTTAAAAATCGGCCAAAATACACGGTTTCGAACGAAGTAAAAATCGTGCAAAACCATGACAAAACGTGCAAAATTGTGTACACTCACTCAATCGTTACTACACGGTTTGGTCTCATTCTTATACGATAAATACACGATATGACATCATTTTATGCGTGATTTTCATTCGTGCAATACGGTACACCCTTTTCGAAACCGTATGTTTTAGCCTGTTTTTAGGAATGGTGCAAGCACAGAAAATTACTGAGCCTTATGCTTCCCCAAAAGCAGATTCCGCGATGCCTGCCAGGCGTCGGTGCGCGGGTGCCGTCGTTAGGTGCCAGGGCTAGTCATGGCCGGTCAGGCTCAAGCAGGGCTTTTGGCCCCGCAGCCTATCTAATCAGCGTGCAGCGAGGCCAGTCAGGGCCCCGACTATGACTGATGTTCGTGACGCGTAAGCAATGGAGCCCAATTACACAATGTCTTGTGCATTATTGACATTATGGTGATAATGACAATTGCTAAGGAGGGGGCACAGGACGGGTACCAGTGAGCGTCCGAGGAGGCGAGGCCTCAACGTAAGGGAAGCAGTAGATCATTACTTCTGTCAGTGTTGACGTTGGGTCAGTTCGGTTTTCAAAGAAGCGCACCCGAAGACATCGCGGAATCTGGGAGTGATGGCCGCACATCGCAGTGCGATCTTCCTGCGAGTTGCAAAGTTGGATGCTTGACGTTGCATGCAGCCCTACTACGTTGACGGGGCTGTGAGAGCCACCCAGGACGGCTGAAGTGTGACCCCCGTGACTGTGCACCCTTGGAACGCCATAACCCACACAGCACGAAGGAATCCGAAGGGGTGACCTGCCCAAGGTGTGTCGAATATTCCTTCGGGCCGTCGGGCATGAGGTTGCCTGTGGGCGCGATGAAGCCCAGGATTGCCACCCTGGTCGGCCAGCAGGAAGGCGACAACGTGACAGCTTCTCGTCAAGGTCGAATAGTCTACCACTGTACCGCCCATGATATCAGCTGTAAGGTTGATGGACTGTGAGATGGATGGAACGGGTAGGCCCCTCCGCGTGTCAGTGCCCCTGATGCGATTTCTGCAGTGAGGTTATCCGCCTTTACTGAGGGCGTCAATCCGGATAGTAAGGGTATGATGTGATCCCATTCAAGTCAGAGCCGCTGCCGCTGACCGCCTGCCGCCCATAAAAGGACGCGCAGAGTTGCCCTGAACGCGAGGAGCTTCGGGCATTCGCTTTCCAGCGGTCCGGTGGCAACCCACGAGAAGGACAACCGCCTTTGTGGACACACACACCCACACCCAAGCTTCCAAGCCGTCTCGAATTAACGCCCTGGTCGGCATGGAAACCCGGATCCCGGCCCTCCTGGCGCTCGTCGTCATCGCAGGGGCGATCTTGGCCTCGATCGCAACGGCCGATGCCGCAGGGGAAGGTGAGAATTCCCTTCGACGGACGCCATCGGATCTTCTCGATGCCTGGAAGCCCCATGGTTCTCGGCAACGACATGCGATCCAGGTCATGGGTTTTCGTACGTCGCTGCCGTTCCTTTGGCGGGGCTTTACGGCCCTCCGACATCAGCCTCTTTGGGTTTTCGCTCGCAAACCTGCAGGAGCGCCCCACTATTCCGAGCCCTCTTACAGAAAACCTTTTGACGTTTGGTATGGGGGGGCAAATGCCAAAGCGTGCTCACGGGCTTTTGACACTGGGGCTGCGAACCGATGGGTGAACCCGCGTTGATCCCTTCCGATGCCTCGTGACGCGGCAGAAAACCCCGCGGTTCCTCTACAAGCTCCTATTGTGGCCTGCATCAACCGTTGCCTTGCGCTGCTTGAGAACCTGCAGAAGGGCCCGCGGATAGCTCCGCAGTGCTGTCGAGGGAGCTCAGTGTCGCTTTGCGCAACTCGTCGACGCCGTCTTGCGCACTTGGATTGTGAACTGTGTCAACAGCATCTCGGTCGACCCCACGCGCCGTGCTTTCCTTGGACATTGGCGGTGCGCACGGCCGTTTCAGCACGCGCGAGTTGGCAGACTGATGTTCAGCATCGCCGCTGAACCGGCGCGTGTGTGGCCGCATTGCAGTCCTTGCCATCAACCTTCCGGCGCGCTTGGATCGCGCCGGATGAGTACGCGACGCGGCGCGCCTCAGTTGCGGCGTCGTTCCATATAGAACGGATATATCCAAACCCCTCGTCGGTGAGCGCGGTCGTTGTCTGGTAATGGCCACAGAGAAATTGTGCAATTCCGTTCCTGCGCGCTTGGCGTCGATGCTCTGGTGCCGTGTGGCCGGATGGGCCATCCTTCTACCCAAATCACCGGTCGGCGACGCCGTCCTTCGCTGGTGGTCGCGTGCTGAAGTTGTGCACTGTCGTCCCTTCGCGTTGGGCGTCGATGCTCTGCTGCCGTGTGGCCGGAAGGGGAAGGCAGCGTCAAGTTGTTGACGGCAGCGCATCATACACGTTCGCGGGGTGGGCCTGCGGCTCCGAGGTTTACCCGTTTTGAGTCATTGCCCTCTTATTACACCCCTTAGGCCGGTACAGAGGGGCGAATCGTTACCATTGAAACGTGTGACGGTCAGTGACGCAGTGGGCTGTTCAGTCCACATGCCCGCCAGCCCTCGAGTGCGCGCGCGTCAAGAACGACGGTCAGTCAGAGTCCCACCCAGTCCAAGCCCAATTCCCTACAACCCCAGTCATGGCCCAGTCAGGGCAGTCAGGGTCAGGCTGGTCAGGGCCCTATGTGTTACTTGGGTTTCTGAGGTGCAAACAGTGAACCCTCGATGTCTGTGTCCGCGCTTCCAAGCGCCTGGAGGCCCCGCCCGGTGCCTGTTCGGGTGGATCCACGACCACGCATGGACAACAATGACCCTTGACAAGTGATCGCAAGCTGCTAATATTCCTTCTGCTCAAGATTGGTTTTCTTTCAGGCTGTTACTTGCAGTACATAGCCAGTTCGGCGAGTTTCTGACCATGTTAATGAAGTACTAAACTGCTCAAAATCTGGATAGCAGATATCGTTTGTTAATGAGATCCCAAGTCGGTACTCGTTAGTGGCTGTCTTGGATCGCAGCCACGATATCGCCAATAACAACTTCTTTCCCTTCAAAACTAATCGTGGCTCTTGTAAAACAGGGTTTGGCACTAATTGCCTATCAAAGAATTTCTTATTTTTTTGTGACGCTCTGCATTGTCATTATTGTAAATATATGGTGATGCAAATAACTAGATGCGGCATAACAGAGTTTCATGTCCAGGGATAAGGCATATCTCCTCCCATATCCTCGCCATATCCTAGGGTTCGGTCGCCTGCATCCCAGTATATGGGCGTCCCCATCCACTACACGATGTCCACACCCTATTTGAAATCCATGTCGGTAAAAGTCCCATATCCTGGATATCGAATATGGTATGGGCGCCATATCCTGTATATGCATATCCAGGAAATGGCCATGTGTTGTATATGGACGCTCCTTACCCATGATATGGTCGCCCACATCCTGGGGTATGGCGACGATATATCCAGGATATGGCCATATCCTGGATGTACACATCCAGAATATGCAACTTTTCCCAACGCAGGATAAAAGAATCCGCATATCCTATTCAACATCCAGGACATTTGTCTTTGGCAATGTAAAGATTTCATGGCATATTAGATGCAATCTCACTTGGGATCATACTCCAACCACGTTAATTTGAATGCAAGAGTGCTTACGCAACATTGCCATGTCCCCCAGGCTCTTGGATGAGCACAAGAGACGGTCCTCTCGACAACGTCAACCTCGAGGGTGCTTTCCAGCTGTTGGAAGGAAGCTTTGAAGCACACACCAGCCTGAATCACCGCCACCTCTTGCATGATGGCACCCGTCGGAAACTCAGGGGAGAGAATGACGGCGATGACACGCGTCGGAAGCTGATGGGAGAAGATGACGACGACACTCGTCGGAAGCTCATGGGAGAGAATGACGATGATGACACTCGTCGGAAGCTCATGGGAGACCACGACGATGACGACGCTCGTCGGAAGCTCATGGAAGAGGATGATGACGACGGCGCTCGTCGGAAGTTGATGGGCGAGGATGATGACGACGACACTCGCCGGAAGCTCCTCGAAGAGGATGATGATGACGGCGCTCGACGGAAGTTAATGGGGGAGGATGACGACGACGACACTCGTCGGAAGCTCATGGGAGACCGCGACGATGATGACGGTCGTCGGAAGCTCATGGAAGAGGATGATGATGACGGCGCTCGTCGGAAGTTGATGGGGGAGGATGACGACGACGACACTCGCCGGAAGTTGATGGGAGAGGATGACGACGATGACACTCGTCGGAAGTTGATGGGGGAGGATGACGACGACGATACTCGCCGGAAGTTGATGGGAGAGGATGACGACGATGACACTCGCCGGAAGCTTCTGGAAGAAGATGATGACGACGGCGCTCGTCGGAAGTTGATGGGGGAGGATGACGACGACGACAATCGCCGGAAGCTCATGGGAGACCATGACGACGATGACGGTCGGCGGAAACTCCTGGAAGAGGATGATGATGACGGCGCTCGACGGAAGTTAATGGGGGAGGATGACGACGACGACACTCGCCGAAAGTTGATGGGAGAGGATGACGACGATGACACTCGCCGGAAGCTCCTGGAAGATGATGACGACGGCGCTCGTCGGAAGTTGATGGGGGAGGATGACGACGACGACACTCGCCGGAAGCTCATGGGAGACCATGACGACGATGACGGTCGGCGGAAGCTCCTGGAAGAGGATGATGATGACGGCGCTCGACGGAAGTTAATGGGGGAGGATGGCGACGACGACACTCGCCGGAAGTTGATGGGGGAGGATGACGACGATGACACTCGCCGGAAGCTCATGGGCGACCATGACGACGACGACGCTCGTCGCAAGCTCCTGGAAGAGGATGACGACGATGGCGCTCGACGGAAGTTGATGGGGGAGGATGACGACGACGACACTCGCCGGAAGCTCATGGGAGACGAAGACGACGATGACGCTCGTCGCAAGCTCATGTCTAGGCGATTGCTGTATTAGGCAATCAAGAGAAGCAGGGATTCTTGTTCGATCCTTGTTTCGATTCTGGAATCGATTCTTTGTCACAGGTTTCTACCACTGGCGAAGATTTTGCACTCGTTCAATGGGATCTGGGTAGCTATTTTCGGTAGAATGAATAAATAATTCACAAATCATACCATTACCACATTCATCAACGTTGTATCTGATGGAATTCGCATGTATCTGAAAGAACTCACATGGGCTTCTGACTGTACATTTCTGGCTCTGGTTTGCTGTGGCCATGATGCCTCGTTACAAGGATGGCTGTCACGAGTGTGTTCGCTACGTTGAGCGCTCGGACCTATCGCCTTGGATGCCCTGGTCACTGATCCGCGCTTAGATTGGAGTATTGTGAGTCTTTCGCCTTTGTTGGGAGAGGTGAATAAGGTTTCGCAACTTGTACTAATGGGCCATGAATTTCCCGCATTATTGGGTGAGGTAGAATATGGCTGTGAGCGATTTCCGAACTGCTGAGGTGACGAATTGCGAGAGAACAATTACGCGAACAATATTTCAGGATTCTTTCGCCTTGCGGGGTGAGGTGAATAAGCAATTTGAATTGATGAGTTGTGTGAGTCTTTTGCCTTGTCGGTAAGCATGAACATGGCTTTAAGCATTTCTGAACTCTTGAGGTGGTGAGCTGCAAGAGAACAATTGTGTAACAATATTTGGCGGTTCAAATATGTGAGCAGGTGGAGGGTTTGTAAATTTCTGATGCACAGCTTATGCAGGTGCCTCTTTGCCCTTTGTTCGCATAAAGCACGTTCCTCCAAGCGAAGAGAAGTAGACTGAACAACGAGAGCATGCAATTGATGCACGCAAAAATTTCAACGCTGCTCTTATTGCAATTAGATTCCAATGTTACAAACAGTTTTCTTGTGAATGCACTGATGCCTGAACTGGCAAGAACAACTTGTATCATTCGGGAAATGGCATGACCTTTGCGATGGCGTTAATGAGGCTTTCCTGCAGCCAATTTACTGATCTGCTTCATGTCACTGGTGTTTCCAGTGCCCATGCATCCAAATCTTACGAGCATTAATGCCCGTGACCACGCTTGCTGTCTACGTTTACGTCTGTGTGCTTAGGCTTTTACCCACAAAAAAGCAAATTTGCAAAAGGGGCTGTGTTTGCGTCTGTATTTACGTTTTTGCTGTTCCTGCGACACCAGGCTACAGGATGGAAGTCGCGTACAATGATCAGTTCTCCGCCAACTCGAGCACACGCAACACAGCATTCACCTTGCCCTGGGCAAGGACAACAACGTTGTCGAACAGAAGTTCGTTTTCTGCTCATTCCAGCGCCGCTGGCTGCCACTCCCCGACTCCTTAAGTCTGTATTGTACTTATGTAAACGGTGGTGCATTTGTGTTGTATTTGCGTATATTTGTGCTTAATAACGTAAACACGATCAGCATTTATGGCATACTTCCGCACATTGGGTAGGCGCTGGTGCAACATTGGTGGGGGTTGATGCAAGAGGCCAATTGAGCAATGATCCCCAACATTGGCGAAATGCACTTGAATCAAAGGCATTTTGATGGAACATTGCAAAAATAGCAGTCTTGCAGCAATGCTGCATGAGTGATCCCATTTTTCAGCTTTGAGATACATCTGCAAGTTTGGCAGGCTTCTATGCGAAATCGGTAGGCCCTTGGATCAACGCTAGCCTTCAGAGCTCGTGCCCGTAGAGTGCCGTTGATGCAATGGGCTGTCAATATTGCGTCAACGCCTAGTATGAAATAGCAATGTAAACAACAAGCCTGCCCATGGCTCTGATGTCCTTGGCGATTAATGGATTGTTACAGCTATGGCCTGCTAGCATCAATGGCATCAGCGGCACAAATCGAAATCGTGGCGTCCCTCACATTTTTTGCGATGCCTGGGTTTCCCAGAACACAAATGTGAGCTCAGATATGAGCAAACCAATTTCCAATACACTCAACAGAACGTGCCCTGAAATGTGCATTGTTGCAATTCTAATTTCTATAATGTAGAACAAAATAGAAACAACGAACCGGGATTACATGGTATGTATTATGTTCCTGTAAGATCGCTGGTGTCATCGGCGAGAACCATTGCTCGCTACACAGATAAGCGTTGCTCAACGTTAGACTCAAGCCTACGTGATGTCGCTCCCACACTATCGCATTTGATTTGTATCCATACACCCTGCACGAGATGTCGCCACAGTTCGCAACTCAGCGCCTACTCTGACCCAACTGAAGATACTGGAAAGACGGCCGCTGCTCTGAAGCTTCTGCGTTCGCTTCAATCCACGTCGCCCCATTCAATCCAATCACCCTGTGTCAGCCACATGCCCTGAGAGCCATTCTTTCGCAAGTCATACGGATGGGCTATTCGGCGCTATGCTGAACTTCACTTTTCAATAAACCCGCTCGCAATTATTTACATGCTCTGAGCGCGCAAGGCAGCCACAGTTGCGCGGCAAGGCAGGCGGCCCGCCGTCTAGTTAGATGCCCTCTAGAGGGCCTCCATAGAGGGAGGATGGAAATACTCCCACTACCAAGCTGGAGCCAGCATTCCATGGTTCAAGCCTGGACGGGAGACCTTCGTGTGGCACAACCACCAACCACTGGAAACAATCACCCAAGTATGATATGAATGTTTGTGGGGTTCAGCAAAGGAATCTTTCATGTGGATGTGACACAACAGTGTTAATTGCTGGCAAAGAATATGCAGCTTTCGGACACGCGTCTGAAAACTGCATGTGCGAGACATATGCACCCCTGTCTTGCCCTGTCTGGTACTTACTGCAGTTGTGAGACGGTTGGCATGGGCAGTACGCAGGACAGCAAAGATGCATTCTCTGTATAGGCAACCTACATATACTTTGGAATCCTTCGGGATTAAATTATTAAGTACGATAGAGCATATAAGCATTGCATAAAATTTGGAGATGGTTGATTCATGAATCCACCATCCGCAGTCCACCGTATTCTGATCAGAATACGATCACACCGTGATCCAGCCACTGACAGTGGCTTTTACGTTCCAATCATTTGCCCGTCACTGCTGAGACGCGAAACCAAGACCTCTGCACTTCGCGGCAGGCCTCCTGTGCTGCTGAAACCATGTTGAAACGCAATGTGCAGCTGTGCACGAGACGGAGACAGGACGTTTTCTCAGTCCTGCAGTTTCCTTTAATCTGATGAACAGCAACCTTGAGACACAGGACAAAGTCTCCATGTGGCAATCGCGTGAGAGTTGACCCCACGAATGATGTGGTAGCATGCAAGCAAATGACAATCGCCCCGATCCAGCGAATCAAGCAGAAATTCGCTCAACGTGGCTCCCGCTGTCTGCTCCACACAAGGCGGGGATGAATGCACGCAAGGCGGCCACGCTGTACAAGCCGGAGGCAAGAAAGAGATCCCAACAACGGCACATGCTGGCCCCCTCTCAAATGAGACGGCGAAAATGCAGCTGACGGCAAAAGCCCCCCGATCCAGTGGGTCAAGGAGGAGTCTGCTGAAAGTGGCTCTCGCCTTCCGGTCCACACAATGCGGGGATGTATCCGCGCAACAAGACGCAATATATCGATGCATGAGGCAAGAAAGGGCAAAAAAGACAGTCCGACAAATGGCACATACTGCCAACCCCCGCAATACACCGAGAGGTATTTATATCTCCCGGTGTTTCGAACCAGTCTCCCCCTTGTACCACCCGAAGCTTTGGGTGGGTGCCCTTAAGTACAGGCTGCCACGCATGGCGGGCCCCTACCCGTCGCATCACACCAGCCTGGCCCGCCCTTCCCTTCGGATCCCCCTCCCCTGACTGAAAGCTCTCAGGCATGGGACGCGCGGTGAAGTTCTACCTACCTCAGCGCGGAGCCACCGCCCGCCGCGCCCCCCGGCCCCAAACCCTCTGCCGCGGACCCGTATCGAAAAAGGGGGCCGGCGCCTCGTACTTGATCGGCGGGGTTTATTATATACCCGAGCCTCGTCGGCGCGTTCCTTCTGTGGGCGGGCGAAGTCCGAGGTGTCGCGGCCGGGGAGCGTCGCGATGCCATGGCGGGGTGTGCAGATTGCGCGGATTGCGGCACTGGCGGTGTGGGCGCGTGCGCTGTTGGCGCGGTCCCAGGGAGTTGGCGACCTGGGAGGTGAGTTGCGGAGAGGAAGGGAAGCAGGTCACGCGAATTTGCATGCCCTTTAGAGGGCACCTTGTTCAAGCAAGGGCATGGGAGGGCATCTTCCATGCTGTGGTAGATGATCTGGAGTTTCTGGTGCGAAACGTTGAGCGCGCGGCACGGGGCCTGGGAGGTGAGGGGACCTCGCTGGGGATGCTTCCGGCATGCGTCCAGAGGCGCAGCACGGCCGAATATTCAACCGCGCACAGTGGGGTATGCGCGGCAGCAGGGATCCCTGAGCATCCGGAGGCGGGTCTGCTCTCGATGGCATTCGCGTGCGTGGGACTCCATTTTGCAGATGAGGAGCCTTGATGTGCGGAGTCCGCGCGGCTCCTCATTTGCGAATTGGCCCGCCACGCAATGGGCCCATCGATGGAAGGCCGCGGTCTTAGAGCGATGCTGGCGGGACGGCTGGGTGGCCGATTGCCGCCCTGTGGCGCGGCGGGTCGTCGATGAGGGGGCTGATGTGGCTGTGGCCGCAGGAAATGGCGACGAGTGCGGGTCAGGCCAGGCGTTCCCCGTGGAAATTAACGGTGCTGTCGTTGTGGGCTGTGTGGCATTCGACGGATCGAATTGGTGAGTCTGGACATATGTCCATGCATGGTGCTGCTTGGTACACTTGCAGCCCAAGCTGGCTGTTGGGAAAGGGGCGCTTGCCTTTCCATATTTTGGCTCGTTCAGTTGCTGGATGACAGGTCCAGAGGCCCGTGTGCGCGCCACTTACGGGATCATGGAATCAACACGCAAAAGTGACGAAAATATGGGCTTGTGAAGCAGGCCGCGAAGTACCGAAATGCGCAACAATTGGGAACACAGGTTGAATTTTGTGC